AGTGAAACGGTGCCTGTGCCAAAAGCCTCCTCCACCAGTGCTCAAAGAGCAAATGCTAGCACAAACGGGGCAGTTTCAGGTGGCCTTCCTTGTAATGAAGTATTAATTAGCATCGTTTATAACCGACTCCCCCCAGTTGCAGCATCCCTGACGCCTGAACTCATAGGTTGTTGAAATCACGCACAGCTGCAGCTTTTTCCCCCAAAATGCGGCGTTTTCCACAGCTGCGTGTGGAAAAAACTGAGCCGCGGTCCCTCTTGGTGCTTCGGGGCAGGTGGGCACCCTCTGGGCTTGCCGGCAGCTGCCGCTCCGCTCCGTGCCACGGGCAGGAGCCGACGCAGCGCACCAGGTGGCGCTGTGGCGCTTCGGGAGCCGGGACCCGTCGCCCCGCCCGTAGCCCCTTTGCTCCCCTTGGAACAGGGAAAGTGAGAGCAGTCAACGTTCAGAACCTTCCGCGGAACCGAGGTGCTGGATTTCGGTCTATTCTTCCGAATGGAGCGTGAGAGACCAGTGGTAGCTATGTCCCCGCTTCAAAGTGCGTTTCTTCCCTCTCAGAGGCATGCTTCCACATTGGTCCTTCTCTCTGTCAGCATCTAGAAACACTTGATAAAAGAAAGTGCTTAAGCACAGAGCTCCTCTTCTCCTCTCCATTTGCTCCCATGTCCCACTTTAGCACCAATGCTTGGGCACGCTGAAATCTGCTGCAGCCATGCCACGTTTTCACATAGCTGTCGCTTAACTGCAGCGTGTGTGAGCTCTGACTTGGGAGCTGAGGCTGTTCCCACAATTTTGGCAGTTCCCACTGCTAACCAGGGCTGGGAAAGGTGATTTGCTGGATGAGAATAGCCATGTCCTCACAGGCACCTGGGTGTGGGCTCCACCAGTAAAGATGCCCACTTGGTTGCCTCTGCCATGGGAACAGTCACATCTGAGCCTGGGATCAGTCACCTCTGCAGCACAGTCTCTAAAATGGGCGCCTGAACTCTTCACAGGCTGACCCTTTCCCTTCATGTATGCACTGTTCAGTGTGCCCTTGCCCTGTGTCAGAGCCAGGAACACTGCTACTGGAGCTCCTCATCCTCATGTGGGGGAAAAAGTGGTGTTTCCAAACATGGGCAGAACTGGCAGTGTGTTGCAGCACACCAGTGCTATTAGACTATGTGATGAATGTGTTTCACCTGCCAGCTGGCGATGGCATCATCGCGGTGGCTCCCACGTCACAAACTTGAATGAACCTCTCAAAACAAAAAGCAGGTATGTGCTGGTATAAGTAGGTTTCTGGCTCTTCTCCTCAAGGAATACAGTACTTACTGACAGCGAAAATGTGTACTTAGAGGAGGTAGTTCTGTTTGTTTCAGGTATTGGCAAAAAGATATTTCTTTTATATGTGCTTCTTTCTGAGCAGCAGGGGAAATTATCCTCTCAAGGCAAAAGGAACTCAAAAGCTTGCTAAAATGTTTTGGGAGCATTTCATAGAAGGTGATATTTGAAACGCCAAGCACTATTCGTACGTTTTATGGCTGAGAAGTATTATTGGGCCATATCCTGGAGGTTTCACTCAAACCCATGTTTTTAAACACTGATGTCTGGAAGTTAAACTAAAGTGTATTGACATGAAATACCTTAGGTATTTGGTTTGCTTCTCAGAAGCATCAAACTCTTTGCAAGGTAGGGCCTTTGGGGACTTCAAAAAGGCAAACATTTTACTTTGGAGCTCTCTACCACTTGTTACGAAGTCTTGCCTATTGTAATTGTGTTTGGTTTTTACCTGATGTTTTTTCCAAACAGTTAATTTAATTGCAGACAGTTCTTAGCTGAAAGCAGTAGCTTTAGTTCAAGAGCAGAACTTGATGTTGGGGTTATTTATACAAATCCACATAGACAGTAACCTCTTCCTCTGAAGTAATCAGATAATCAGTAAGGTTAAATACTAACAAAAATTATCATGAACCTATATATATGAATGCAATGACTTTTTCCAATAGTTACTGAATAACTTGCCTGGGAAATGGGTCTTAGTTTGGCTCTCATGGTTGATTCTAAGCTTCCTTCTACCAATACCCATGAGACTCTGGTTAATTTTGTGGCATAAAATATTTAAGTATGTGCTCTGCCAAGTGAATACAAGGTCTCAATTTGAATTTCAGCCTCTATGGGCAACTATTTTAGACATTTTGGTAGAACGTAAATGCATATTTTCTACATGCCAGATCCTGGCCCCATATCCATCAAAGTAAATCTTCAGTAGTTCCACTGAAGCTTTAGAACAATCCTAAATTATGTTATTGAGGTCAGATCATGACCCTGAAGCTCTGGCAGAGACCCAGACCAAGAAATTTGTGTGGGAAATTGGGGAGGGAATAAATTATCACTTGCCTATGTTGTTTTGTGGGAGTAAACTTAGAAAGGTGTGAGCTAAGATGAAAACTCCTAATCGTGGTGGATATTGCTTTCCAGCTGTTTCTGCTGGAAATAGCTCTCTGTGTGGCTATGGGAGAAGTTCTTATTTTCTGTCTCAAATAACAACCAATTTTGCTTTTGTTTTCCCTGACTGTCCCTGTCCCACTCTCTCCCTTTGGAGAAAAGTCACTTGATTTTGTAAAAAAACAAAGTCCAGGCGTAGGTTCTAGTTTGAGCGGGGTTTTTTACTCTGGTGAATGTAAACCTTAATTTTCTCTCTCTGCCGAACAAAAGTGGCAGGTCTAAACAGTATTAGGTAATTGTGGCTGTCATATCGTACGTTGTACTGTGGAAAATATTAATTGCTGTTTTTCACTGGAGGGTTTAAACAGCGGTCCTTTCGTCTGACAGGGAGCATGTCGTTCTCCTCCCGATTAAGGCTGTGTACTGTAGAGCAGCATGAAAGGATTCCTGTACAGCTGTGCTGGGAGAGTGGGCGGGCATCTCATTCAGTAATAACATCTAATTTATACAGCCATGAAAATCTACAGCTATAAATAAACAGTTCTGACTGACTTCACATGCTTACTCAAAATAAAACCAGAGAAATGGGCTGGAAGGAGGAATCTAGTGTAAACGTCATAAAGGCCAGATCCTCACTCAGAGTACCGCAGTAAAGTCTTTCTGAAATCAGTGTCAGATTGCAATCAACACAGATGCATGCTTTCTTCCTTACAGGGCTTCATGTGCACCAGAGAAAGGAGCAAAGCAAACCCAAGATCCCATCAGTTGTATTTTGGGAGCAGGCACTCCTGATTGCTTTCCCAAAGAGCATGACTGGGATCCAGCTTCTCCACAGCAAAAAGCAGTGCCTCTTCTGAGTTCTTTTTAAACAAAGAAACACACACACATACGATTCTCCTCAAATCCCTTGTAGTTCAACAGCACAGTCACCTCACTAGATCCAGAAGGTAACCCTGGCACAAGTGGGAGTCAAGGACAAGATCTGCTGTTCAGATCAGACATGGAAAGAACTACCCCTCCATGTCAGGTCCCAGGCTCTACTTTGAGTTTCTGACATTTAAGCTTTTACAGTGGGTTACTTTGAGCAACCTGGTCTAGTGGAAGGTGTCCTTGCCCATGGCAGGGGGTTGGAACCACATGACCTTTTAGGTCCCTTCAACAGTTCTGTGATTCTGTGACCAGTAAAAACCAAAATATTAGAAGAGGTAAAAATACCCAACAAACGTGTTCAGAGTCGCCTCTTCCCTAATTCCCTTGATTTTTTTCTTCACTCTTTGTCTCTGAAATATTTCCTTTGACCAGCATCTTTCAAGTGTATTCCTTCCACATTCTCCTTTAGTTTCAGCAGAAAAAGGGGGGGGGGGGGGGGGTGGGGTGGTGTGCCCACGTAATTGCTTACATTCCCTTTGCAAAGTTAGCTGGAGTGAGTTATCTAGATAAGCTGAGAATTACTGGATGCATGCACATCTTTCATTGAGTTAGCTTACGGTCTAGCCCTAGTCTGTTAACTTCCCAGACTAGAATTTTATCAGGTGCTTAACATGTGAAAAGAACAATCTTATGTATACACATTATCTTTTTATTGCTCACAGGCAGCTTACAATGTGTTTCATTTTTACTAAGCTCCAGCAGCATTTGGAAGATGAAAATAACACCCCGGTGAACTGCACACACAGTAGCTCTAAGCTAAGGGTTTTGGCAATGAAGATGGAGTTAGACATTTAAGTACTGAAACTAGTTTCAAATCCTCTTTTAAATGCAAGGCTAATAACAGAGATCTTTCTTTTTCACATTGACCATTAAGGAACACTTATGCTACTGTTGGTTTTGCCTGTTTATTGGAGTTTGCAAAGCAGATCTCCAGTGTTTTAGATGTTAACAAAATGTTGAGGCTAATAACAGAAATCAACTATATTGAAGTAGATTAGTAAACGTGAATGGAGTGTAATTATATGGCAAGCAGCTTTATGTTAAACAGTGCTTTAAATTAACATGCTTTCTGTCAAAGCAATCATACTCTCAGTATAATTAGGTTACTTCTGCTGCAAGATTAACTGAAACCAAGAAAAAGGAAGAAAGTATTGCATTCAGATTTCCTGTTAAAATGGAAGGGAGATATTATGCATATTAATATCCCAGAAAGTTTCTCGTTAGGAGAACTTGGCTCCATGGTGAACTGAGCAGACATTCCTAATTACAGTCCTTGTTAGCCCAATTTGTTATCTAGCTAGCTTGGAAGTCACAGCACTGTTAAAATTATCCCTCTTCTTAATTTTTTCCAGACTTGATGAAGGGCAATCCAAACAAGAGCTGGCTTGCATTCACAGGTCTTTTAGAGAGTAGTGCCAAGCTCTTGAGGGAGTTCATTTACCAGTGATGAGTTTTAACCATGGACACATCCTCACATACATTGTGCAAGATATGAGAAACTTGTGTAAACAGACAAACACAATTTTCTTTTCATAGAAGTTGCAGAGTTATCATGTAAGAGGCAAACATTTCATATTTTCCACTAGTTTTCCATATGTCTGATGACATAATGGCTTCACCAGAAACTGCAATGAATTGGAGAAAGGATTTATCACAGCTGCATTTATTTTCCTCTACTTCATGGCTTCAGTGTTCATGGAGAGATTGTTTGGCTCTAAGAGGAGGATTCACTTGCCTTTCTGCCTGTAGTCCAGTATTACTATTGAATCTCCTGTTTGGAGGCAGAGGAGAAGAGATTATTATGGGGTGGAAAAAAAAAAAGCACAATAGAGAAGTCCTTTTACAGATCAGACACACTGTTGGGAGGAGGATGTGAACCTGGCCCCAGCCTCCCAACATCCCTGGGAAACCGAACCCATCTGGGAGTGGGAGTAACCTATGGCTTGGACCAGCTGCTGATGTCGAATGAGCCTGAGGCATCCCTAGCAAGTAAAGGATTACTCTGCTACTGAGGGATGATTTGAAATCTAACATGACCACATCCATTGAGAATAATGGTGCTTTGTTAATGGGAAAAAGTATATGCTGCCAAACAAACCTAGCTTGGTGTAAGAATATGTGAAAAACTTTAAAAATAAAGCTTGTTTGGAAAGACAGCTGATCATTAATCCCTGCATCTGAGATGTCTGGAGCATCCTCACATGGCTGGCCAGTACAGTGCAGGACCTACTGCAGGTCCACAGCTTTCAGAAGCACCACCTAGAGACCCAGTATACTGCCATGGGTCACACCAAGTGTACCTAATCTAATACATGGCCTCAGTCTTCCTGTTGACGATCATTTATGCACAGGGAACCCTGTGCTTTCCTTGTCCATAAACCTCAGAGGCTCTGAAACACTAATTGCTGTATTTTATTTATCTCCAGCCTGCCTAGCATTTGTTAATTGACCTGGTATGGAGTAAAATCCTGGCATTTCTTCCTTCCCAAAGGATCCTGTATGTATTTTGCACTGACCACATATATATTTTAAAGATTGGGTAGAAAAAAAAAGACTATCTTATTAGGTCAGGGACAACATATTAGCAAGCACCTGTTAATGTCTGGCCTTCAGTGATGAAACTGTAAGCCCTAGGTTGCCAGGGCTTCCGATCCTGTCTGCCTCCAGTGCATCATCAGATAAACTTGTCAGTAAGAGCAGGGTGTGTGACAGATGGTACAGGTTTCCTTTAAATAGTTAGACTCCTCTACCCGAGGGGTAACTGCAGCTTGGGGGAGTGACAAATATAAAGGATATAAATATGCCATCACAGGTTTGTGGCACAACTAGGATGAATGGATGAGACAAAAGCAGGTATTTGTATTTAGTTTGCAAACTCTGGGCTGTAAATCCTCTTAAATTTGAGTTCCATTTGTTACTGGCAATATACTGAAATTGTAGATATAAACATTATTTGTTCACTGAAAGAAATAGATACACCCTGGACTTTTGTTCTTTGTTTTCAAAGGCACAATAGAACAAATGAAGTTATATTCTTGAAAAGAGGCTCAGTTTAAAGATCCCTTCTGGACGCTGTAATAATAAAGGGTAGAACCTGTATCTGCATTAATAACTACCTGCAGAACATGAGCATTTTTACATTCATGCAAAACCACTGTGCCAGGACAATGGTAAAATATATCTCACACAGTTGCCCTTTGCATCACTTTATTTGCCACTCGAGTTTCTGCAATCTCAACAGCTGCTCAGAAGAATGAGAGCATTGAGAATTCAATCGTATTATAGTATTTGTATTAGACAGATTCATGTGCTGTCAACGTAGGCTGGGTTTCCCAATAGCTGACTACAGGGTATTAAGGGAGCTTGGTTTCAGAGGCACATAAATACAAAAATAAAACCCAGGGAAAAAAATTGGTTCCTAAAACATGTTATACATTTCTGGAAAATTCATTTAATGTAGAAGTGCTCCACAAAGAAGACTGCCATCTAACTTTAGCTCAGCTTTAGGTGAATATGTTTCAGCAGTGGCTTCACAGGCTATTCAAGAGCCTGTAGAAGATATGGAGGAGCACATTCATCTGTGCACTGGGCAAGTGCAATTATTCCACCATAAGTTTTCTCTTTTATCCTGGGAATAATAGCTCTTATTCTTGTTGTACTGCTTTATCCCATGCTTTACAATATCTGTAATTCTGGCTTTGTCCCCAGTGTTTCCTAGCCAGCTGCTGACCAAAGCTTTCTCCTCTGAAGGTCAATGAGCATCAAGGCATGGATCTGTTGGAGCTGCTGCAGGCTCTTAGAGCTAGCCTCCTGTTCTGCCCCATTCCATCACATGGAGATGAGCATTTCTCTGGACTTGGCAGAGGCCTTGTGGATGTAAAATCTTGCAAGAGGTTTGCCCAGTGTCTCTCTGCAGGTATTTAAATCACTGGTGCAGTGGGTATTTGTTGCTAGCTACAGCTCCTATCCAGCTGCATTTCAAACTATTGAGCTGAAACAGCTGCTGAATGTTGTTCTCTGTTGTTCTTTTTTTCCAGGTGAGTTGGATGGAAGACAAATGAATTTACTTTGTCTTCAAATGCTGGTGACAGGGAAGAGACCTCATCTGAAATGTTGCTCTGTCTGATGTGGAGAACTTTGATCCAAATTTCTCCTGAGGATCTGGTTGTCTCACCAGGAATAAAACCCAAGGAAAAACGGCTTTGCTTTATTTGTGAGTGTTCTAGTTTGACTGTAGTAACATGAGATCAGTTGCCTGTATGTTTTTTCTGCCCATTAGGGAACAGGAGAAGCTATCGCACGGTTCCTCTTTGGTACTCAGACCCTGTAGCCAAATTCTTGGCTGAGGTGAATTTATGGCAGTAAAAGAATCAGCCCACTGTTTCAAATTATCCTCTTTGGAGTTTCTGTATTGCTCAACATTGTCTAGTACTCTAGAAACTCTGGGATTTAAAGCAAAAAAAAAGTCATTACTGGTACTATTTTCTGTGCCTCTCAGGCTATGCAGCTGGGTTGCCTTAGTTACCACCAATCCAACTGTGCAAGGGGAGGGAGAGGCACATAAGAGATAATACATTTTTAAAACCTCCAATACTGTATGAAACAATTCATCTATAAATAATAGAAGAAATTTAGGGTCTGGCATTGTTTGGTTATTCTGAAAAGGGAAAACAAGATTATATTATTTGACAGCCTGGATTTTTCAGCTCTCAGAAATGATACTGCATCTTTTTGGTCAAGCACTGGACATACCGCTTTAAAAATTACTTGCTTGAAGTGGAAAGCTGCCATCCATAGACTTTGGAATAAGTTGGAACTGAATATACCTTTAAGGGTGAAAAAGAGTAAATATTTACGTAGCTGTTTTTAGGACAAGTGGTAGTGGCCTGAAGCTATAAAGGAACATGAAAGAGCCCATATAAAGCATGGTATGCTGTGGGACAAGTTTCATTTGTGGCCTGAAGTCTGCCACAGGATGTAAATCCAAAAGGAAACCAGGCTTGCCATTCATGTGGAGCTATATGTGAATCACTTCTCACACCTTTGACTAAACACAACTTACCTGGCCACAAACTCAGCTAGCTTTCTTCCTTCAAGTGGGAAGGAAAGAGAAGTAGCCTCCCCAGAGCCTTTCCCTTTGGGTAGAAGCCTGGTCAGAGCAGCCCAGGTAAGGTGCTCTGCCTGGTAGATGCTGCCAGCAGCAGGTCCAATTGCTTGGTGGCTATGGGTGTTAGTGGAGAAGGTGTTTCCAGATGTGCTATAGGAACCTACTGGACAATTGCATTACTGTAACTCAAACTGTGCCTTTGGGGGACCAAGCAGGAAGCAGAAGAGAGTGCAGAAGTGCCCTTCCACATACCCTTTGTGGTGGACAGGGTGGAGGGTCTAGAGAGATGGAGAGGTTTGTCTTCTACCACCACAAATCGTTTTGCTTTGTGTGGTTTGCTTTTTTCCTTTCTGCAGGGTTGTTTTAACTGCATCATCTCCGTTATTGTGATGGGAAGGTGATACAAGAAAGGGTAGAATGAAAAAAAGTGGAGCCATTTTTGCTGTGAGAAGAAAGGTATGTTGGAATCATGTCTTCATTCAGTTTGCAGCTCTTTTTACTTTGGCAATGCTGAGCCAAAGATTTATCTCAGTCAGGAACTTATTAAGACTCCAGCATACTGTAATTTCGAATAGCTTCCCTCTGGCTGTGATTCAATATTTATTGTGGCCTTGTTATCAATACAGCTTAAGGAGGTCCTACCCTTCTCTTGGGTGGACACAGCTGAGAAATGGGTCAGGAAAAAAAAAAATAATCAGTGTTGAAAACAGCCTCTGCTTGCAAGAAACCTTGCTTGAGCAACCTGGTCTAGTGGGAGGTGTCCCTGCCCATGGCAGGAGGGGTTGGAACTAGATAATCTTAAGGTCCTTTCCAACCCAAACTATTCTATGATTCTATGAAACAGGCGTGCGTCGTAGAATAAGAGGGAGTGAGGGGTAGTAGGCAGGAGCTTATTGAGAAGTTATTGCTGCCAAAGCTCCCATACAATCAAACTATAGCCTCAGATACTGTGGATTGCCAGGTATCAGGGTACAGCTTGAAACTTTTATCAGTGCACAACAAATCCAGGGAATGCTGCTAGTCCTGGGGGTGAAGAGCCGAGGATGCATGTGAAGCAGCACAAACATGGAGAAATGTAACTCAGCGCAGTGTCCCAAACATGGATGAAAACACTGTGTAATTGTTAAGGCCATGATTTCGTGGATCCTTTGAAAAATATAGAGTATTTATGGAGAGGCAGACCCACTACACACAGGAGATCTCCATAGATTGCAAGAGCACACCAGATACCTGTGGAGGATATTGTGTATGCTGTGTTTATATATATTCTCTGAGATAACGTTTGTGCTATCACAACTGGGGGATGCTTTTCAGCCTTTCTCTGTGCACAGAAAAGAAAGCTGAGTGTTTGTCCCAGTTTCTTTAGAAAGCTCTTAAATTAACATCTCTTAAGTGGGCATATTTAGTCAGCTGTTCAAACTGCATCCAATTTGTGCAGTTAATTTGATCTCTGCTTGGCATGACCTTTTGCCCAATTGATTAACACCTTGCAAATCAAATTAATTTCATTCTGATTATCTCCAACTTACGCATCTCCAATTTAGGCATACTCTAGGCCTGAAATTACTATTATGTACTCAGTGATGAAGAAATCTGACACCTAGATGTATAAACTATCAGATCTCATGCAAAGACCTATATTGTCTTGTGATGATGTGGTCTTTGATTAGTAATAGCTACTGTTTATGTGATGCCTCTGAAAACAGAGCTAGTGCAGAATCTGTTTTCATTTACCAGCAATCCTCATCTTGTATCACATTTATGCAAGAATAGAATTCAGCCAAAATTTCCAAACATGGACATGTAGAGCAAGCATCTTATTTGCAAAGGTATCAAGCGGTGAAGCTGGTTATTCAGCACATTTGAAAGTCAATCTGCTGCTTTTAGGTAGCTGAGAGTACGAATGGTGAGAGACTAGCTACAGACGCTCTGCTTTGGCTTGACAGGCATGTGAGACTTCACAAAATGCATCAGGCATTAAATGTTCCCTGAGAACAGAGGGAAGTTGTCTTATTTATTTTCAGAGGTGTTTTTGCAGCATTTTTTCTTTCATCAGAAAGCTAGTGTAAGAAATTGCAAATGTTCACACGTTTGTCCTAAATAAAATACATGCGTTTTCCTGACGGAAACACTTTCATCCTCAAAACCATAATCTTGACTGAGAAGGGAGAGAGGAAACCAGGTGAGAAATAATAATAATAATAATATAACCCTATGCCAAACCACCAAAGCTGCTTCATCAGTTGTTTATTCCTTCCTTTCACTTGTTGAACGTGTCCTCCTAAACTACTTTCTTTTTCTAACTGCCCATTTGTCCAAGGAGGCTGCCTTTCATTTTCTTTAAATCACCACTGATTATGCCACTACCAAAGTAGAAGGCAGATGTTCTCAAGAGTTTGTAAAACTTTCTGAAGTGCTGTTTTACCCACAGAGGTGCTGTGATGCTTTCACTGGGATACACTAATGCCTTCCTATAAATTGTCAGTAAATTGCAATTCCCTTGACAAACACCACATAATGAAGGTGTAAAAGTTTCAGCCAGAGAGATTTAGTACCTCTGGAACCTTGTTTGAGAAGAAATTCAAATTCCAGTGGTTATGCTGTTAAGTGGTGTTTCTTGAGCCACATTTGTGAAACCTGGCCCTGTATCTGGTGGGATTGGGATTCTTGCTCCAATTTGTTGTCTCTTTGTTAGTAACTGTTTAGGACCTATCAATCTCTAGCAGACACCCAAATACCACACCCACAGTGTACAAGGGTCCCCTTCCAGGTTGGACAAGGCTTTGAGCAACCTATTCCAGTGGAAGGTGCCCCTACCTGTGGCAGGGAGTTGGAACTGGATGAGCTTTAAGGTCCCTTCCAACCCAAACCATTCTGAGATTCCTTTCCTACCTGCTTAGGCAATCACAAGAATTCATTTAGATGACATTTTTTCATATAGATAGAAGTGAAAAACAAAACTTGGACTGACCCCATATAATGCTGTTGAGGAACTCCCCGAAGTTGTAGAAAGAGATGATGATGGCAACGCTAACGGCAAAGAAGGCTGCGAGCCCGGCTGGGCTGAACAAAGCAAAGAGCGGATATACCCACTCTCCTGTTACAGAATAAATCCACAGGACCCTAGACAAGGAGAGAAATGACCTTTGGTTAAAACCATTCAGTTAGAAGAACCACTTCATGATTTCTAGCTCCTGAAGGACCAAGTTATCAAAACAATCTTGATACAGAGGAAATTAGCTCCACTGTCAATACATCTCCTTGGCATTTGGGCTATTTGCTGTGAAGCACACTTGAGCTGCTGCTGAATTAGATGGGTTTCATCACAGTTTGAAATGCACACAATGTTCTGCTCTTCACCCTGGTGGCACTGGCTATTAACAGTGGCAAAATAATGGTAAAATAAAAAAATGCTTACAAATAGGGATGGCACGTGACTATTCTAAGGGAAGCTTATTCAAATGAGCTCTCACATATGTGCTTGCTCTTTAGTTACAACAGCTTTTCAGCCCTAGCCATATTTCAAGGATCTGTGAAGGCAAAGCGCTGTTTCTCACTGTCTCTATCCTGCCACTGCTGACCACTGTTTTGGGGAGTGGGAAGAGGTTTTCAGGAGGCTAGAGGCTATGAGAATTCTCCAGCACATTTCCTCTTGGTCTAAGAGGAGGAGGAGAAGAGGAGCAGATAGGTAGGAAACAAAGGTAGCTGCTTTGCTCCTTTGTGCCAGAACCGTTTGCAAAGCACTCTCTGGAAAAGGGAAAGAAGGTTAAGAAAAAGGATAAACATGCCTGCTTTACAGGGCTTCTTTTCTTCTGTTTAGATCCTCTCTTTCTGCCTTTTTCTTCTCTCAGAAAAAACCCACCTTGTAGTGGCTGTCAGTCCACTGATATTATTTTCATTATTTATGTCTCCTAAGTGTGGTCGGTAGCAAATGCCTGGACTTAAGAATATAAAAATGGTCCCTATTTATTAAATAATGGCTGAAATTTAATACGTTTGTAATAAATATGTAAAGAACATAAAAATTAGGATGGGTCTTTAGTGATTGTTATGAGGATGTGTTATTTTAATGATAATTGCCATAAAAAGGACCTTTGGGTCCAAAATGTTCTAAAAGGTTTAATTCTTAATTTAAAAAAAACACATCTGAGAAACATATCATACTTTCCATCACCAGTGCCTACACAGGAATGCAATCCCACTCTCTCTGATGGCACCAAGCCTGTCAGCTTACACTGGGCATCATGCTTCAAAGGGAAATGACAAGCACGCTGCCCCACCAGCCTGAAACTGTCATGAAACTAAGAAATGGGAGAATGATAAGGAAAATACTACTACTACTACTACCAATAATAATAGTGTGAAAAGATGATTTCTCCTTTCTTTAGGTAGAGAAGGAAGGGGTAGGGTATAAAGAGGTGCCTTAAAGAGAGATTCACTAATCCCCATCTAAGGGATAGAGTGAGGAAATGGAGGGGGGTGATAGTGGAGCTGTCCGGGCTGAGCATGGAAATGTTAAGGGTTGAGACTCATTTTCATGATTTAAGGTTCTTTCATCAGGCAAACAAGGCTGTGAAACAGCTAAGTGATTAAAAAGAAAAAGCCTGCACAGAAGGCCACAGAGAGGCTGAGCAGAGGCACTGAAGACTGGGTGCAAGCTGGAGCCCATGCAAATGTCAGCATGTGTTCTTCACTGCACAGGGCTGCTGTTTTCTTAATGTGCCTCTAACAGCAAAACAGAGGGTGATAACTGCCTTTATTTTATATAATGAGGAACTAGATTATCTTGATGCAATTTGGCCAGCTGGTGTGCCTCGAGTGAAGCACTCCAACCCATATTTTCAAACCTAAACAAATGACTACGCAGGAGAGCTAAAGCACTTTCAGATATCTAGCTATCCGGCTTGGTAGAAGCCCTGTGTTTCCAGGTTTTTTATCCTGGGGCATACCTCCAGATATACCTGAACTTACTCATTTGATCACAGAATGGTTGACAGGTTTTGGTTTTATTTTTGTTTTGTTTTGTTTTGGGTTTTGCTAGGGATTTTATAAATCTTGCAAATGCATATTGCTCATTACTCATAGGCATCCAACTATTAAATATACATGCAGGATTTGGAAGCTTATTATTCTGAAGATTTCATTTTACCAAGTTTCATTTTTTCCCAAGATTTTACCTTGAATATCAGTGACTGAAACAGAAGCAGAAAATGCCCAGAATTATTGGGAGGATAGATGGAGATAACAGCCCTGGGCATAGCCAAATTTGCCAAACTGCTATAGGATAGAGAACAGCATTTAGATACTAAGGAGAGGTGATGTGCTGTCATAGTACAGCTGGATAAAACTGGTGAATTTATCCTGTCCTCTCGTTACCTATCCATGAATGTTAGCAGGACCACCACATTCACTGAAGGGGGAAAAAAACGGCATCTCTAGGGAATTATTCAATGGGATGATCCAAAAAGAAGAAAATAACATATTGCTTACATATGATCTCTCTGAGTCTGGTCAATTCTAAATTAAAAAATTGTGTACTGAAAATGAGCATGCAGTGACTGAAAAAGAATTTGATTCCCATCAGAGATGGAATATGGACCTGTTGCAAGAAAGTTATCAGTCTCTAAATTTAAGTGGTGGTGGTTTTTTTTTTTGTATTTTAGTTTTGTATACAAAATGCAACCTATAATGATTTATGTACCCTTGAATATAAAAGTTTGAACTTTTCTCCAAAGACACATGCAAAATTGTGAAAATTAAGGTTTATTTTATACTGATCTGTTATCACTGAAATGATAAACGGAAATCTATTGTTATTTCCTTTTTAAGATTTAAAAATGCCAGTTCTAAAATGTATATATTCTTCACTGTTTTCAGTGTGATGACTCCAGGAGTAAGGCATTACTTAATGCAGCCAGGAGGTGCAAGTTCCATCTTTGCAAGAATTAACTAACATGCCTAAAGGTTCTCTAAACCCTGATGCCCCACAACTGAAAGCCACCTTTCCGTTTTGAGCACTATGGATATTCAAAGCTGCAGTGAAGCCCCACTCAGAGGCAGGTATCTCATGTGAGCCATCACCGGCTGCTTGGTTTCTCTACTGCCTTGCAGGGACCAGTCAGTTCTCAGCCCATCCACACTGGGGAAGGGGAAGCTCAGCAGTGACAGTGACAGTTCAAGGAGAGACTTTTAGGAAGGACTGTTGCTTGTGAAACATAAGGTGCCCAAATGGGGCTATTAATTCACCAGGTTGCAGAACCAACAGTGAACTATTTACATGTGTTAAGATTTCAGTGCACAGGCTAAGAAATTTTTTTGTTAGTTGAACCCTGTTCTCTGTGGTTGCAGTTAACTGAGACAAGGAGGCAAAAAGAAAGCAGACAGCAGGTTCCTTGCTGCTTCAGGAGGAAAGAAAGCAACAGTATTGCAATCCTAATATCTTCAACCCAGTTATCAGGGCTCTGAGACACAGGTGACAAGTGCTCTCACGGACCACCTTCCACTCAGGATCTCAGCAGCACCCATGAGACATCAAGTCATAGAAGATACTGCAAGGACTCAAATGTGTTGATACTTATATTGATCATCACCCTTTGATGAGGATTCAGGTCCCAGCATGAGCTGTGTCTCCTGTGGGGTGGAATTGCTCAGCTGATAGGGGCTTCAGGGGAAAGCATGGCACTCATGACTGCAATAGCTGCCTGGAGAGCTGTCTGGTCTCAAAGACAATAAAAACTAAATGCTGTCAGAAGGCAAGCAAAATTAAGCTGGCTTTAAGCAACTGGGTGAACCAGAACATAGAAAAGAAATTTAGGAAGCCGTGATTGTAATCCTGTTAGGCTGTGGCCTGGATTAGGATAAATGGCTCCTAACTTGGTTACATAACATAGCAGTGAAGTCCACTGCTTCGCCAGCCACTCTGATGGTTTTCGAGTCACAGGAACATTTCATCTGTGCAGTTTATTTTCTATTCCAGATTTTCATTTGGTGGCCTGAAGGCAGTCTCTAGGTAAGAGTGAGAACTGGTAGGTGGGAATTGGAAGAATGGGCACTCTCATAGTCCCAGTAACTTCTCAGAAATCTTTGTGAGAGTAAGTCACCTCCGTGCTGACCAGTTGTTCTGTACCCTCTGCTCTAGGGCCTGGGTGCTTCCTGCACTCTGGAAAGTGATATTGCAGCATACCCTGAGAGTATACGGACTCATTCTTGAGCTGAGTCTCAATGTAAGTCATCTTCAGAGTGGTCTGAAGCTTTGACAGGTGCCCATATTCAGATGGAGCAGGCAGGGCCTCCAGACCACTGCATCCAGGATGCAACAAGCAGGAGTGGATGTAAAACCAGCTCCAGGGGTGCATGACACACACAGGACATGAGGGGGTGGCTGTAGGCTGGGGGGGTGCCTGGTGAGGGATAGTTTATTCTCTCAGGATCACCCTCCAACAGGTTGGAGATCAGCTGAGGTATGTAGCTGGAAATGTAGGCGGTGTCCACCGGTGGAGTGGGAGGTGGAGTGGGGCAGATGCCTCCTTGCTGCCCGTCAGCGTGCACCTGGCTCTGGATATCATTTTCTATCTCAAGTTTCTAAACCCAGCCATGTGTTCCTGCCAAATACCAAACTGGGTTTTACTCCTCTTCTGCTCCCATGACCCCAAGACCTTTGAGATTTGGAGTTTCTGCAGTGAGCAAGACACCGAGCAGAGGTAAACTCGATGGCACTGTTAGATGTACTGGGTTAGAAATAAAAACCCAGCCTGGAGAAATAGTGCACCAGAGTTCATGGCAATTTAATTGCTTTTCTAAAAGAGGCCATATAAGAGCAGGAGATATTATGTATGGTCTCAGGACCAGTATTGTGTTTGAAGAAACCTGCCCTGCCTCTGTCTGGAAATAGTTTTCATGGGTCTCAGCTGAAGTTTAAATGACTTCTCTCCACAGAACAGACTGCTGTCTCCCACGTGCCTGGGAGGGGACCTAAATCTAAGTACAGCATTTGGCCCTATTTTGCAAGCTAGATCACTTAAAGAAAATGTTTTAAAGTATGTAATTCTTACCAGCTGATATACAGAAAGCTGACAAATCCCAATAGGATCAATCCCTTCTTCTTTGCTGGGTAACGGTGGGGCAAGGCAAGGAGTTCCAGGACAGCAAATGGCAATATAGCTGTGTGCTGAGGAGAAAGAAAGTCTGTCAGTGATCAATCACAGTGCCTCTCCTTTGGTGATTGCTGATCACGAAGCTCACGAGTCTGCCCGTGAGCAAAAGATTATTTAACAGCACTGAATGTAACTGTATACAAATGCACATAATTCTTAATTTTTTTACAGTGATGAAGTACCCCTTCAGTAATGAGCATGGAAATTTTCTTGTTAGTGTGCTGTATAAAGTGGGTAAAGATGTGTGCCTGCAGAATGACCTGCATTCCTTCATAATATGTGAGCTTCCCATTTATATTTTATAATACCGTAATTTTTTTTGGTAATTCCCATTAGAGTACAGAAGGTATAGGAGCCTATTGTTACGTACATTTGAGGATGTCAAAAGTGTCCTCCTTGAACTCACTAAGCAATTGTTGAATTGCCTTCATGTTCTCCTCAAGTCATTATTGTATTTTATATATTGAAACATTATTTACTCCATTGAATTGCAGTTTGTTGTGCTTCTCTTTGTAAACTGAAAACATGGAAATAATCATGCAGAGGACTTAAGTTATCTGTGATTTGAGATTGTGAAGGAACTTCAAAGATGCTTAGCCAAGGGTTAGTAAAGTGTCAGCTTTATGGAGAAGGTTTGGGTTTTTTTTCTTCTCTCTTTTTTTTCCAAAGAGTTTATTCATAGAATCATGGAATAGTTAAGGTTGGAAAGGACCTTAAGATCATCTAGTTCTAACCCCCCTGCCATGGGCAGGGACACCTCACGCTAAATTTGAGTTACATTAAGTTTGAACTATATTAAGGGGCTTGACTTTCTAGGGCATTTATGATGACAACTGAGCATGGAGGAATTTTAGCACAGGACAGGACAGACCAGGTGGCACTGCCTGTTTTGTGGTGGGGAGCTGCCTCCAAGAGGGATGCTTCTCACTGTTTGGGAAGTTGGAGGCAGAGCATAAGTCCTTCTGGGCTCAGGTATCAAACAGACAGTGCAGGGGTTTTGTAATGCCTCAACTTGTTGGGTGATTTGTGGTAATTTCAAAAAAATATTTGTTGGGGTGAAACCTCCCCACTAAAAGTTTTGTAATATTCCCTGTGCAAGCAAACGATAGTTTGAAGTTGCAGTACCTAGTACAGAAGGCTTAAACAATGCTAGGAATAACACAGCAAAAACAGTCAATGAGGAGCAGCAAGAGAAAACTATAATAACAACTGTAGCTGACTATTTGGTTAAATTTCTGTTAATTAAGCAAATAATTTAATGAGTAGATGGGGAGGGGAAAGGAGGGAGCACAGCAGAGAAAGACAGACATTTAAACAGAAAAAAAAAAAACAAACCCAAACTAATGACTTTTTGATTTTGTTTTTCCATAAAGGCACAGCCTGCTGAGTATGCTGTATGATACGAAGTTTCCTCTTGTCCGAGGGAAGTGATTTTCGTACCTTAAATGTGCATTTGTCAGAAGTGGTGCTGAGTATCTGATTTGGTGGTATGGTGTCAAAGTTTTGTTGCTGTATATTCATAGTATATGTTGCCACAAATGCATATGAAAATCTTTAAATGTATATTGAGCTACATACAGCATGCATGAAAACATTATTTACCCATTTGTTTAAGAGGCAGACATCCATTTTTGTCTGCCATTGCCAAGCGTCAGCTCTCTGGAAGCTGCGTGTCCTCCCTCAGGCCCTGGAGGAGCTGCTATTCATATCTGGCTGTCCTACTACCAAAATAACCCTTCCATCTCAGTTATCATTTTCCAGAGAAAAGAGATAGAAAAGATTTATTGGATGTTCCAGCTCCTCTCACTCATTGACACTGAGATTTTCCTCTGGTCTGTTTCACAAAGATATTCTCCAGCTTGGTTGATAGCAGAGGTCTCATTGTATCAATACAAGTGATTCCTGGATTCATTTAACCATTAAATGTCTTCGATTCACAGAGTTTTCATACATAATCCCTCTGTCTTTTAGTTAGAAATCTATGTGCTAGGCTGATTTTAGAATGATTTCCATAGGTGTTCAATAGTTTGTCTTTGAATAGGCCAAAATACTCGTGCAAGACAGCAATGATGGAAAACTTGCACTTAGTCGTCACTTTAAGGCTTTAGCCTGTTGCAGTGGATTTGTCCATTATGTGAAATGGATATAAGTTCTGGTTTTCATCTGACATCCAGAGGGCTACAAAGATCCTTCGGAATACATAAAATGTCTTTGCTAGTCTTTTCATTAATTTAAACACTTTCAACTACTCTAAGCTGGTTGTTCCAGCTGCATTATTGCTGTCCTAAGAGGGATTTTGTAGGATTGACCTGGTGAAATAATCCTTTGTTGAAGTGAAGAGTTTTTAGATGGGGGTTATTATACATACTTATTTCCTTAGTTTGGGACTTTTTGTTCTCAGTGAATGTTAAATAAGTGCAAGTCAGCATTATGATGCTGCCTTAATAGAAAAAGTGTGTGGTGTTCTGGGATGGTATTAACAGAAGTATTGTGTGTAAGAAAGATCTGGGAATTAGCTATGCTGCTCTGCTTGAATTGATGAGGTTTTGGCTGGCACTCTGTCTCTGATTTAGGGCACCCCATTTTGACAGAGGCAGACAATGTGGAGCATGCCCAGAAAAGGACAGCACAAACAGCAAGAAATGATGAACAGGAAATCAGTTCAAGGACAGGCATAGAAGTCAGGGCTGAATGTGTTGGTATGTTTAGAGAGAAAACGAAAATGAGGCGTTTTAAATGAGAGAGTTTCAAAGGCTTAAGAGGTTGATACAGTGATGATTGAATGGGTGAGTTTTCCATGGCCATTGCAGATATGACCAAGGGCAATTGGCTCATTTTACCTCAAGAGAGATACAGCTTTATACTGGGAAATACGCAGCAAAGGCAAGTAGGGAAATTATCATACAGGGGAGCTGGGCAAGCCCTTTTACACAAGCTAGAGGAGAAGTTAAGTGTGATTCTGCCAAACCCCTCTGGGCATCTCTGACCCAGCCTCAGTTTTTCTCTACCAAGAGCTGTATGGTCTCCAAAGCTGATCCAAATGTACATGTCCAGAAACAGAGGATGAAAGCATGGAGAAAGGAGGCCTGTCCTCTTCTGACAGGAGCAAACTATCATGGCTAAGACCACTAATGTCTCCACTTGCTTAGCCAACTTCTGTCTCAGTCCATGAATCTTTGAGCTACCTTATAGTGCGTGAACCCCTCAGGAAAGGGGGAAGAGGAATAAAAAGCAGAGCTTTGGACCTTATTTGCAATTTCTCATTTGCCTCACAGGCATGAGTGGCACGCACTGAATGATGGCTGGAGGCACTCTGCAGCAGCACACCAACAACGTATGAACAGCATGGTATGGTCACAGGCAGTAATAAGCTGGGGGTAGCAAGGGGAAACCCACTACTGTAACACACTCATTGGCACCACAAAGAAGAAGCAACTGATAATGGTTACAAAAGACAGTTGGGAGCACTTCTTTTTATTCTGTCTTGACTTAGAAAATGCTGATTTGCTTAACTAGTCATCTTTTGGCGAGCTCCTCCACTTACAGAGGAGCTGGAGAAAACACTCAGGGGCCCATAAATCAAAAGATGTTTGAAAGTTACTGGCAAAGCTGGAAAGTTTGGCTGCTTTTGGAAATAGCCAAGAGTTTATTGGAAGGGGTAGGCTAAAATTTCTGCTCTGCCTGATTCACATGGGCTTGAAGCTGAGCTTGGCACTGCCTACAAGAGTGCTTCCACCTCCAAGAGCAGTGGAAGAGTTCAGGAGTGGCCCTGTCTGCCCCTTGTTTTGTGAACAGTTTGTTAAAGGTCTTGGATCTACTCTGATATGGGGGAAAAAAAAAAAAAGACAAAATTTGTTGTGGCATAGGAAAGGTGTTTTTTTTTCTCAAGTCTAAGATGACACTGGCCCATGAATTATTAAAATCTGTGCCCTGTCTTCTGTACAAATAATTGCATCCTTTAAAATATTTTGCTATATTATACTCCAATTGTATTTATTATTAGAGTTTTAGCATATTCCTACTTAGAGAGAACCACTATGTGTATCAAATCGACATGCCTTTTTGTAGGGCCATTTAAACTTGCCATGCAAATGCTTTCTTGAGGTAGATTTTTACAACAGTTCTCAGCTACTTCATGCACCCTCAGAATGAAAAGTTTTTTGGTTTAGAATTTTTCTCTTCTGGACATAAAGCTTCTTTTCCTCCCACTTCCTTCTCATGTACGCATACATCCCAGGCCCACTAAGTATGTAAGGAAAACTTCCCTTGCATTTCTGCTATCCCTGAGTCTACTGGTGACTTCATGTATTTCTGCCAAGCCCAGTTTGTCCATTAGCAGTAAAATCACAGTGGAATTTCTGCAGAATAGTCAAGCATGTTTATAAGAGCAGATGCGTATTTATACAGCAGACACCAGAGGAACGTGTGGCTGGCTACAGGGTGCAAAGCCTGCCCTTTGCCTATGACATGCAGTTTGCTTTTCAAATGATTTCCTTCTCACAGCCGATAGACGTTGATTTTGGCAGCATTGTTAGTGATAGACCATATGTCATGGCTAATCATAGCTGCTGATAGGCTTTAAAGACTTCTCATATCCTTCTCAATAAAAAAGAAGTATTTTCTCATTCGAGTTATTTTTACCATAGGTCTCTAGTGCATAATCATTAAATATACTTTCAACCCTATTTAGTTGCGTTTTATGTCCTTAAACCGACAATTGTCTAAAGACTGCAGTATTTGTAGAGGCCAAATAAAAATATACAGTTTTCCCTCTTGCTTTAAAGAAAACCTAATAATTAAGCTCAGATTGACACAGATCAAAACACTGGCAAAAATTGCTGGAAACAGTGACTCATTTTTTTTATTTCAATTAACAGTTTCTCAGTTTCACATATAAACAGTGAAACTGTCAAAAGTAATTAACACAGAGGGAGAAAAAAACTATTTCACTCCAAGGTAAGGAAAATGGGCTGAAACAATAGCTGTGTGTGCTGATCAGGCTGTCAGTGAACTG